CTTCGCCACAAACCTCTTGACAAAGGTAGTTGCCGGACTGGCCACTTCGCCAAGGGGATACTCCTTAGCGAAGAAACCCGACCGTAAAGCTGTCACCTGCCGGTTATAACCAACTGTGCGCACCCTGTGAAACGTCAGAGTGCCAAGAGTGACCCCGTCCTGATCCGGCCTTAACCAGAGGCCAATCCATACGCCTTGGGACGGAAGCACACTGGAAATAAGATATGGGGAACATCCTCTCCATATTGGGCAAGAAAAGGTTGCGGTCCCCAACTTTCCGCAGCCACTTATAGTCCCCATCATAAGCAGCGCTTGCTTCGAAGTCAACAAAGTCCCCGAAGAGGTATCCAGGTTTGACTATCGGCTTACGGCTTGGGTTTTCAAGTCGAGCATCCGTAACCAATGTCCTAAGGGTCTCAGGAGAAGCTTGGGTGATCAGTTCCACGCGACTCTTTTCCCTAACTCGGAAAACGGGGAGTTCTAAACGCGAACTGAAGGTCATGTTCATGTCCGCACCACCTTCATGCCCAAAATGGTGGCGAAAAAGAAGAGGTTCACTGGTGTGGCGCACTGCAAAATAAAGAAAAATTTAGACAAGGCAAAAACAAAACTCAGACGCGAAGGTCGACTCCTACGTCAGATAAGCTTGGACGCGAAGGACGAACCTAGCGTCAAAAATCTCAGACGCGAAGGTCGAACCTCGCGTCAGAAAATTCAAACGCGTAGGTCGGCCCTCGTGTCAAAAATATGAAACGCGGAGATCGAACCCCTCGTCAAAAAATACCAAACAACGGAGTCCAGCCCCGCGTTATTGAAACGAGTTTCCTCGTTGATCTAAAGACCAGAACTTGCCGAAGTAAGTTTAATGACCACGAAGGTCGTACTCACCGCCGATCAATGGAAGTTCGGGCGGCACATTAGCCTGAGCAGCAGCACCGTCGGTCGGCGCTGACGGTGTCGATCCTTGAGCCGCAGCGGCATCAGATTTGGAAGGACGGTGACCAATTTCTTGGGTGCCATAAGGTTTCGTCGGAGAAGATGTGCAGTTGTCGCCAGAGAAGAAAATGAAATTTTGCATTAAAGTTTCAAGAAGATCGAATGGCTCTTGATTTGACCTCCAGCGGTCTATTTATAGACAGCTGTGAGCTGTTAAATCGTAACGGACGGGATTCAAGGCCAGAATCCCGCCCAAACTCGACCCTGGCATTCTAGTTGTTTGGAATTCCAAACGCGAGGTTCAGCCACGCGTTTAAATCCTCCAACGCTGAGCTCACCCACGCGTTTTAACTCTCAAATGCAGAAATTATCTCTGTATTTGGACCGCTATGATAGCAGCTTCTTGACTATCAAGGCTACAACACAGCCCACCAGATGAATAGAAGAAGAGCTAACAGCAATCATCAAGGTGACCAAAGCCGAGAAGAAACAAATGACTCCACTGGGGAGTCTATTGGAAAAGTACAGATAGATTACAATTAACAACATTGAAATCATCTGGCTCGATCAGACGGAGTGAGCAGTCAATCCACTAAATTTTGGGATCCAAAGTATTCCGAAAATTCGTCCCAGTCAACCGCGAACTTTCGAAAACTTTGGAGGGGGTTCTGTAGGCTGTCTAAAAATCACAATGGATAGCTGATTCCTATCAAGCTCCGACAATGGAAGTCACAATCAGACGACTTTCTAATCACTGTATTCGCAATTCTACAATCGCTACAAACACGGCCTCATTTCTGAGATGATTGATCTTGATGGTTGCGACAACAACATGACTAATATTATATTAGCAACTATTAGAGATGCTGATGAGCAGTGTAATGATTTCAGAAATAAAAGGTTGGACGTAGTTGGCGAGTTGCTTGGTAGAGAGCTGTGGGCAAATATTCATCTAAATACACTATGGATGTTGATTCCCGTCAAGTTCCTACAACGAAAGCTACAATCAAATAGCTTTCGCGCCGACAATCGAAAGCTACAAATGGAGGACTTTTCACATAGATCAAGAAGAGTTACAATTCAACGACACTTCCGACAATTGATGAAAACTCTATTCAGTAGTCTTCACATTTTGCAGTGAAAGTTACAATCTGACGATTTTCACACTCCACAACAGCTAAAGCTAGGATTACTGAACAATGGTCCTTGCAACGCTTTACAGAAGAAGTTACAAGTCAACTAGCTCCTTCTAAAATGCGGATGTCATCCCCGCGTTATAATTCTGGAAGTACAGGCGACCCCCACGTTTCCAAGCACAAGCTAAACGTGAGCGACCCTCGCGTTCGTAGGGGTTCAACCAACACCGACCCCCGCGTTCCCAAATTACAACTAACCAAAACGCGAGCAACCCTCGCGTTCATCAATGTTCAGCCAACACCCAACCTCGCGTCTCAATTCTATGACACGAAGTTGGGTTCTGAACGCCAGATTGGGCGTTTGACTCATTCAAATATGAGTCGAACAGTTCTAGAACTGTTTCCCCACGATCTGAGGAAATCACGCTCACTTAGAAGCGGATTTGGAGGGCAGTTACAACCTCTTATCCACCTATAAAATCTCAACAAACTCAACTAAGTTAAGGGCTGGCTTTTTTGGAACGAAAGAGGAGCAACAGTTCGGATTCTCAGGATCTCAACCACTCGGTTTTGGGTGATTCAATAGCAGCAGCAGTAAAATCCTTGGAGATAGGATTTTTGAATCAAATTTAGAAGATCAAATCTGAGAGGATTCTTCAACAACAGAATATCAGCTTGGTCATTAACCGAATTTTTGGTTCTAACAACTCTATTGACAGAGTTCTAACTCGTTTAGAGTTCTTAAACTCATTCAGAGTTACCCATTAAACTTTCCACAGAAGTTCATAGTTCCCACGAGATAGAAGACGGTCGGATCGTCAACGGAGAGCAAATTCGACGTGAGCAATCGAAGGAGGCATTCCATCGCTACCAAGAAGAACCCAGTTTTAAACAAAGGAGAGAATCAAATTCGTTCTCTTCTCTTTTGTAATCGAATTGTAATCGGAATTAAAGAAATACAAGTCAATTTTCTTTTGTTCTTTTCTTTGCAATTTTCCCTATATACACGCCTCTTCATATTTAGGTGGTCTCTCGTGGACCATGATGGTCTCTTCCAAATTATGAGCATTTAGCGCATCCTGTACGTCGTTCATCCACAAACCAAAGTTGATTTTGCTGTCATACTTCACCACACTAATCTTAGTGTTCTGAAAACTAACTTGTATTGTACTCGCCATCGATTTGCTGCTTTCACCTTCTTTTCCTATTGTAAACTAACTCCAAATTGTAGAGAAAGAATAAATTTGATAGAAATTAGGAACCACCCAACTGAACCCTAGATCGGATTCCAAATAGATCTCTTATCCACACAAGGAAAGAGAAATCTCCAACGGCAACTCCTAATGATATCTCCACCGAAGCCTAGAACTCCAAGAACCAAGCTTCACACAAAATCTTCCTCCACCAAACTCCAAAAAACCTAGATCTGAAATCTGGGCTCTGATACCACTTGTTGCGCACAGCGGGAATTTCGGCAGCACAACAAGAGAGTCAGGTCGCAATAAGAATTCTTGTTTCTCAAAGGGAACAAGAATCTGAAGCCTAATATCCCATCAAAGTGGGATATTAGCTCTTCCTCTCGTCTGCTCTAGGACTGCGCGTCGAGGGAACCTAAAAAGCTATTATAAATCACATAAAAGCGATACAACCAATTTTTACGTGGTTCGGCAAATTGCCTACATCCACGGGGCAAGGAGGGGGGAGATCTACTAATAGAGAGAGAGAATACAACTAGGGTTTACAATCACTCACAATCTAAACCCTCAAACAAACTCTCAAATCCCTCACAATATCTCTCTACAAAAGGTGCACAAAAGTCTTGCGCTCAAAATCAGCCGCCAAAAGAATCTCTGTAGCCGAAACAAATTTTTCTCCTGCTCTTGCTTTCCCCAGCTGAAATCAATTCCTTTGCACGAACTGTAGCCGCAAAACGGGTGGGCCGGCCTTCATCACGCGGAAACAAAACCGCGGAAACAAATTCTCAGCACGTGGGCTCGTGGTCCCCACTCCCCACTCACAAGAGAAACTGATAAGGTTCACTTCCAGTGGTTAAAGACACCAAGGCCTGTTTGGTTGATTTCCTAAAAATCAAGAAAAGGAAATCGGTACAAGGAAACCAATAAAATAATATTTTTATCCATTTCCATCCCTAAAACTCACCCACAACATCCAATAAAATATTATTTTTATCTTCCAACTCATCTCATTTCATCTCCTTTTTTACCTTTAAAAATAAACCAAACACAAGAAATGTGTCACATCATCCAACCCATCACATTTCATCTTATCCCATTTTTAAAAATCACACACATCATCCAATAATATTGTGACAACTCATCTCATCTCATTAAACCTTCCTTTCCATCCATTTCCTCAAAAAAAAATAAGAAATTGATTTCCTTAAATATGTGTCACATCATCCAATAATATACCTCCAACTCATCTCATCTCATCTATTTTCTTATTTTTAAAAATGAACCAAACACAAACAACCTCAAAACATCATCCAATAATATACCTCTAATTCATTTCCTTATTTTTTTAACCAACCAAACAACCTCAAAACAATTTTTTTTAAAAATCACTCACATCATCCAATAATAAAATGACAACTCACCTCATCTTATCTCCTATTTTATAATTTCCTTCTTTTTTAAACCAACCAAACAACCTCAAAACAATTATTATAGGAAATAGGTTTCCTATTCTTTGATTTCCCAAAAAATTTTGCGAAACGAACAGCTCCTATAAGTGAAGCTTACAAACGTAGGATTACGAAATAAAACTCTACAAACTTCTCCATTTAACAGAAGCACCACTACCACATAATTTAATCAAATTCCTTATCATAAAACCATCTTCTTGTCATGTAGAATAGACGGATTACGTCAATGCCATATATGATGTGTATAACTAAGTTGTACAAACCTTTCCTCTCAACAGATGGAATTTTTAGGGCTTTTGATTCATCTTCCTCAACTGTTGTTGCAAATATATCAAGTACCACAAGATCACCAATCTGCAAAATTCCAAAACTGGAATTAAACTCACTCAAAATCCGCTTTCTTTCAACTATATTCTACAGAAATATCAAACTGTATTTACACATTGTCTTTCAAAAGATTATAAATTCTAGTCGGTGTAAGCTTCCTTAGAGGAAAAGCTAGTAGCTAATTGCAGAAAGAGGCACAGGACCATGTATACCACAAAACAGAAGGCTCACTACTGATCTAAATTGTCAAAATTTACCTGCAGGTGTCTATTGGTTACAATATTCAATGCTCCTAGAGACTTATGACGCTGTGTAAACTCTTTCTCAACTGCATTTTGGGCATTAATACTATCGTCTAGCTCAACAACAACCTTCAAATTCTTGTATATACTTTCTGATAGTCATTTGACTTCTGGAGCCACATCCACCATCACATCATATCTGGAAGCCATAAAAAAAGTATAAGAGAACAAAAACCTACTAGAGGCAGATACAACCCAGATAGAACTTAACTATAGGAAGCACAACCAACCTAAGAATACTTGTAGGGAAAAGGTGTCACTCATATCCTGAGAGCTTGGTTATGATGTGGATGGAACCCTATTATGGCTCTTCTTTTAACTAAATAAATGCTAAAGCTGAGTAATGCAAATAACAGGTTTAAGGTATTAAAACTGTGATCACTTATTGGATTAACATAAAAATGATTGATTGATGAACTAGCACATACCGAAGACACTGCATGAGGAAGGGTTTTCTTCAATATTGCTTCTATTGTTGCTCCCTGAACATTTTGCTTGCCAACATAGTTTATAAGTATATTTTCTGGGATTCTCTTCCCAGGGCAAAATTCAGGGACCTGTATATATCAAATTCATATACAATTTGAACAAAGATTCTTAAAACCAATCACACAGCAAAGATGCATAACATGTAGTAGATATAAAATTTAAATAAAATTGCGGAAGAGGAACCAGTCAGAGGAGATGCAGAGGATGAGGTTGGATTCCAAGAGACACGTCGGGCGAGAGGGAGTCATGGAGAGGCGTCAAACGTGAGGGGAGGTAGTGGGCGACAACGAATTGAGGAGAGGTGGTGGACGAGGTTGGGATGGTCGGCGAACAAGCAGAGGTGTCGAACGAGGGGAAGTGAAGGAGAGGCAGCGGACGGAGGGAGGCAAGGAGAGGAGAGAAACGTGAGGTGGAGATCGTCGGAGGACGAGCGTGAGTGAAGGAGAGGTGGCGGGTTTTGTTCCATCGAAGAGAGGTGGCAGACAAAAAAGAGATCGACACGAAAAAAACCCTAGAGACGCAGTGATTTGTTTTGATGGGGTGAACAGCAGTTAACATAAGGCCCATAAGACCGTCCCTTTAGCCCAGTATAAAAGTTTATTACAAGCTTAATTCAAGCCCAACGCTTTCGTTTAAAGTGTTGTCTTAGACGCTTTTTATGACGGTTTAAACCGTCACAAAACCGTTCCCTTAAACATCAAAGGGGACGGTTTTAAACCGCGCCACACAAACCGTCATCATAGACTCATTATATGGTAGTGACTGTAAATTAAAGATAACCCTCCTCATCTATGTCCTCAATTTCCCTTATTCTATGAGCACTCGGTGTTGGATTAAATCTAATTATGGGCATATATGTTACATTAGTGTATAATGTTATCCTTAAGGCTAACCCGCATAAAGTGATCAATAAATTTGGGTTAATGGGTATTTAAATAAATCATGGGCTAAATGTGCAGATATCAGATCATAATTATATTTTGATGAGGGGCCAAATTATAAAAGAACAATAACTATAAATAAGGGGTTATGGTCCTTAATCTAGGGGGTTACATTCTCTAATTCTCTTCACCCCCATCTAGAGAGAAATTCGGCTAGAGAGACCCTCAAGATTAGAAGATCATTAAAAAAACCCTAATTCAAATCCATGCTATGGATTCAGGTATAGCTTCCGCGCTCATTGTTGTTTTAATCTCTTTGAATTAATCATGGTATTATAGGTTAGATCTTAGTTTTAGATCTAAAAAGTGGTATTAGAACCACTGTGATTAGTTCTTAGGGATTTAAGATTAAAATTATATTTTTTGATCTAAATAAGTGATTTTGAGAACTGTTCACGCATGAACAGTAATGGATTTTTTATTCAGATCTTTATTGGTCGTATGAACAGTAAAGTTTATGTTTTTTTGGTTTGATTTTCTCTTTCGGTTGTTGAATCTGGATCAAACTCTTGATCCAGATTGTGGGAAAATCACCAAATCATTGATTCAGTATTTGGTTTTGGTGGTCAATAACCGTGCTCCTTGTCGGCGATCAGTTGCTGGCGACCCCGCTATCAAATGAAGACAGCGGCGGCGGCAATCAGGAACCCTAGGGTTTCAACCCTAGGGTGCAGGAGCTTTAGTGGCGACAGCAGCCATCTGCAGTCAAGAACCTAGGGTTTTCAAAACCCTAGGTTGCAGCAGTCCAAGCAGTGGCGGCGATGGTTTAGGTTTTTGAAACCGTAAGGGGTGAAGAAAAATTAGGGCAGGAGCTTACTTGATTCAAGCGAGCCTCGTCGGCAACTCTGCAGGCGAGCTCGAGCATCACTAAGGTATGCCTCGTCGGCAACTCTGTGGGCAAGGTTGATCTCCTCGATCAGGCGAGCTCGAGTCTCAAATTTCAGGCGAGCTCGAGTCTCAAATTTCAGGCGAGCTCGAACAATCTACTTCAGGCGAGCTCAAACAACTTGTTTCAGGCGATCTTTGTCGAAAGTTTCAGGCGAGCTTCAATGGGTTCTCAGGCAAGCTTCGATTGAACTCGATTACAGGCGAGCTCAATGCTTCAAATCAGGCGAGCATGTTTTTGAAATCAGGCGAGCTCTTAAGCTCAATTCGGGCGTGCTTTTCAAAGCTCAATTTAGGCGAGCTTCTTCGGCTCGATTCAGGCGAGGATCGAAGCTCTCTCAGGTGAGCTTGGTTCTCGATTCACGCGAGCTACGGCTCATTTCAGGCGAACTTGGAGTGTCTGATGCGACATAAACATGTACCAAAAATATTGCAAGTGCACAACCGTGTCAAGTTATAGTATAAATATATTGATCCCACGAGGAAGGTGTTTTGTAGGAGAAAAAATAAAATAGGTTCTTATGTTGTGTGCGTAACAAATAGGAGTGATGAGTGAATGTGATTGTGAAGAGATTGAGAGAGTGAAAATAGTGTGTAAATAGGCGCAAAATGTAAGTGAGAGTGGATGTGACAAAGAATGAATGTGATCAATAAGACAAGAAGGAAAAATCAAGAAACAAATAAAAATCAAGAATAAAAAATAAAATTCAAGAATAAAAGAAAATGCAAGAAATTAAAGATGGTGGATTCAATTATAGATATGGGTAATCTAAAATTGAACCCACTTCTTAGAAAAGGGTGATTCCCTAGAAGGTTCTAGCCTAAAAGCGAATTAAACAAAATAAAAATAAACAAAAAGAAAAACTAAACCCAAGAGGGTTCTAGGCTCAAGGTGAATAGTATAAAAAATTAAAATCTAACTACATAATAAAAATCTAACTACATAATAAATTGCAAAATCTAACTACATAATTAAAATCTAACTACATAATAAATTGCAAAATCTAAACTCACTACAACAAAATACATCATTGCCGACAAAAGAAAAACGTCGGCAAATGTTTAAAAAACGTCGGGAAAAATCTTTCCCGACGCAAAATGCAACGTCGCTAACGCGTCACCAAAAGTGCGTCAAGGAAAATATTTGGCGACGCAAACTCACTGCGTCGGCAAAAGTCAACACTTTATTATGTAGTTTCAGGCCCGTGCGATGCACGGATTTGTCTAATATACAAAAATTGATGTAGCAAAAGAATACAAAATAAAATAGTAATAATATATAAGTAGTCAGAAATGATACACCTTAAGCTGCATATATGTTTGACTTACTATTAAACTGCAAAAAAGAATCAAAATATAATTTCCCTATTATCATAACAAAATAGATAAAATGTCTCATGTCTACATGACTAATGTTATAATTTTTTGCTATACCAAGTAATTAGTATGCAGCATAAAGTTTAGTTCCAACCGAAATATTTAAAGGACATAGAGATACCTGTCAAGTATATATATCTATGAATCAAGATAATAATTATCAATAGATTGATAAACAAAATATCCATCATAATCATATCAAGTAGTTAGGTTTCTCAACACAAAACCACCAAAAAAATATGTAGTGCATACAAAAGTTTACTAAATAATGTTTTAGACCAGAATACTAAATATAAGTTTCAGACATCATGAATCAGATAGAGATTTTTCAAAAAGTAGCTTGAACTCTCTGTAGAATATTATAATTCTCTCTTTCAATTTTGATCTGTTTTTGCTTTTTGTTGCTAGACATTTGTGAAGAAATCAAGTCTACTGAAACGGAGTGCTCGATATCAGATTCCAACAAATTTCTCTTGCAATGAGTAATGTTATCCGAGGAACAGATTTCAACTTCATTGTCACAAGTAATCGATAGTGAGCCTTGTGTTTCAGTATAACATAATAGTTAGCATGTTAATGATGTGGCAGGAAAAGATTGATGTACAATTAATGTGAAGAATCAATAAATCAATAGTAAAGAGAAAAGAAATAGGCAATCCAAAGTGATAATGGTGAAAGTTCTAGCAACAAAAGATACTACTCAAAAAGATATTAAAGAATTTGGTATTGCATTTAGAAGGATTACTATGACAACCTATAACCAGAAATCTTCTCGGTGAATTCCAGTAATTAAGCTAGCTACTTGTATCAATTAATCTATGGTTAAGTTTTTCATGATCAAGTAAATCCATGGTTCAATTAAGTATTTAAATTTTTTTAATTTGTACATCAAGGAGAAGGTGATGGAAGTTTTTGATGCAAAGTGTCAAAATTAATTAGAAGCTTCACGGGATTGATAATGGGTTATTGACAAATAGAACACAAGCCAGAAATAATATTAACTAAACTTCAAGCTTTCATTTGTTTTGAAAAGTTATAAAACAAAAATGGTAAAAAAAAACCTTGTATTATTAAAAGTCATTCTACTCGTATGTTAGATAAGAATCTGACAATATATAATGCATTCTTTTAAAAAATCTCACATTAAAAACATATTCTACATATTCTGGGAAAGTAAAGACATGTTTATTTTATATATTTAGTTAGCATACTAATAAGATATAAAGAAAAGATTTTTGCAAAAGTAAAGACATGTTTATTTTATATATTTAGTTAGCATACTAATAAGATATAAAGAAAAGATTTTTGCATTGTTAATGTGAAGAATCAAGAGTATATTTAGTTAGCATACTAATAAGATATAAAGAAAAGATTTTTGCATTGTTAATGTGAAGAATCAAGAGAACAATAGTAAAATGAAATTCAAAGTGATAAAGGTGAAAGAAGCAGCAACATCAAAAGAGTATTTGAAAAACAAGTATTGTGAAATATACAGCAAAAGAGAATTTGAGAGTTTTGCCTTGTCAGGTTGTCCCCTTGATTATGGAGAAAGGTGTTGAGGTGTTACTATGAGTATTAGTTTTGATAATAGTTATAATTGGATGGAGGTTGTATATATAATGCTTTTGGTATGTCATCTATAATTTCCTTTCATTTCACAAAAATAAATAAATAAATCAATCAATAAAAAATAAATACAAACATGAGAAATTACCAAAACTCCTATCTTTAAATACCAAATGCAACATCTAGTATAATACACTGCCTTGCTCTTTTCCCATTCCTATGATGCTTTACTACCAATGTGACCTACAAGAAAACCATGAAACAGATTTCAAAAGATTCTATATTAGAAAATGAACATTGCATAAATTTGATCAAGGATGTTAATTGAAAAGGTAGTGAGAAATTGTAATTTATATGGTACAAATGGTCTCTAAATCATTTCTGAGATAACATAGTTATAAATGACACTCTGAGACCTCAAACGCCGAATGGAAAGAATTAGAGGAAGTACTATTAACTAACACAAAGTAATGTGGTCAAATATGCATGTGATTAGAAGATATGCTTCGCCATGATTCTACTTGTAATAGTTCACAAAGTCAACTACATTCAAACACTGTTATGATGCTGAAATAAGAAGCAAAAGCTATACTTTAGCTTTGTATTCACATTTTTATTTGTATTTGTATTTTTATTTTTGTTATAGAATTTCAATATAAAATAAGGTTAGAAAGCCCTTTTTTTGGTTTCAGATATTACGAAAAAGCTTTTAACAGGTTAACTAAATTTGAATAGGTCAACTTCAAGTTTTGGTTCATAAAAATTACTAATATGGCCATCTTTTGTTTCCTGAAGATCAAAGTATGGGGTGATTGTTGAATCAAGGGAACTGAACTTCCAACATTCTACCAACTAAAACCAAACCTTAGTCCAAATTATTATGAAAGTCGTCAATTTGAACTTAAATTGAGATCAAAATCAAAGTTTAACTAAAATATATCAAATTTCTCCGACCATTATTCTAATAATTGCAAACAACCCATCTGGGTTTCCATCCTCCTCGATTAAAATTCAAAATTTTCTAACTCTTTGCTCATAAGAACCGAGGAAAAAAATTGGATTAACCCATTAAAATTCTTCACATGAGAATGAGGAAAAGTTAAGAGGACTAACCGATGGAGAGGCGAGAGATGGGATAAAGGGCTGCCCCAAAAACAAAGAAGAAGAAGAGAGAGAAAGTCCCGCCATTGAACTCTGAAGCGCAGTCATTGCTGCCATTTTTCTATTTTTTTTCCTTTCCCTTCGCATTTACTTCAGAGCTCTCTCGATCAAGCTGCACGAGGTTCTTGTATATACTAAATACTAATTAAGATCTAACTACCTTCTTGCTTCTTTCATCATGTATATAAGAATAACTAAAAAAAATAGGAACTATAACAGCTTGATTTGAGTCCATCTACATTTTATAAGAAAGACCATGCATGTATATCAGTTGCGCTCTCGAAATTTATCAGAAATCAGTTTTTCTATGTCAATTTCTCATCCGAGTAAACTAACATTTGTTCTTCATATTCCAAAATCTTTTTCGGTACCATACACATGACGCTTCAAACAAATCGTAGCCTTCACCCAATAAATTCGAAAATATAGAAAAGTAAAACATTACGCAAAATGAGATTGATAGCTTCGTCTGACACCCAAGTTCCACTCAAAATTTTTCCAAAGAAAAAAAGGGAATGTCACAAACCAAGAGGACTCATCGAAATACATGAAAGAACTCAAAAAGGTCTCACCTATGTGATTTCATACAGGAGCAAAGAGAACTCAAAAAAGATCAATTCCAATATGAGCTCACTAACATTAGCTCTTCATGTTCTAAAATCCATTTTTTTAAACTACAAACATTAAGCTTCAAACATTTTTCATAATTCTTGCTATAACTTACAAAATAGAAGAAGGAAAACGTTTACACACCATGATAGTGACAGCTTCATCTCACACAAAATTCTAGAATCTGAAAAAATAGAAAAAAGAAAGAAAATGTCAGAAACCAAAATCACGCATCAAAATACATCCAAATAACTTAAAAAGTTCTGACCTTTGAGATTTTTAATAGGAGCAAAAAGAACTTGAAAAAGTTCTCAACTTTCAGACATTTGATGGAATATCTTAAGTTGGGTCTTTAGGGTTTGAAGAGATTAATGACTAAGGGAGAGGGAATCGCTAGTGGTTCGATTTGCTGCTTATTTCCTCAATGGGTTGAGGGATAAAGTGAAGAAAAGGAGAAAGTGGTAGAGAGGGATCCTTTCGTAGCTGGCTCCATAAGAAAGAGAAAGAACATGGCTGCTTTTTAGGGATTTGGAGAAAGAATGAACATCTGCTTGAAGAGAGAGAATGCTAATTGGAATCCTTGAGAGAGAGAGGGAGAGAGAGGAAGTTGAAACGTTTTCTTGGGAAGTTGGAAATTGGAGAAGTTTTCTTGGGAGAGAAATTTTCTTGGGAGAGAAAATGTCATAAAAAGAAGGTTCTAGCCTCTTGGCTATTTAAACAAGAAAATAAAATCTAATTACAAGCATGAAAATAAATTTAAACTATTTAAACAAGAAAATAAAATCTAATTACAAGCATGAAAATAAATTTAAACTAATAAGCAATAAAAGAGAAATAAGAAAAACAAACCTTCAAATTAATCTACATCTTCATCTTCATCTTCATCATCTAACAAAGAGAAGAAAGAAAAATTTAAAGTGGTAAAAAAATTATTATTATTAATTATAACAAAAGTTATAATTTTGAAAGACCTTCTCAATTAAGAGTAGCCCTCCTCTCCAAATGGAGTTACAAAAATTTTTACCCTCTAACTCCTCATTCTCTAGCCCTATTTATAGTAAACATAGTGAATGAGAGCTATTGGATCAAACTTGAGCCCCAAGACAAGCAAAATCAGCCATTGACTCACGCTACAGTAAGCTGGCATCGATGCTGGTATCGATGCCCACATCGATACCCACTATATCCAAATTCTGATTTCAGGGATAGCTTCTTCTCGTCGAGATAGGTGATTTTCATATATTATATGTTAAATTCCGCCTTCCGGATTAGGAGATATCGTCGTTTCTTTGTGGCAAACCATTTTAAATATGATTTCTTTTCATATTAGATTTTTTATTTTCTCCGGCTTCTACAGGTTACTCGGCTTAATTCTGGGCTTTTGGGTAATTTGGAAATTGATTTTCCAATGGGCTTATTTGCTTCATTTCTTCATTTAATCAATGAGTTTTTGTTGAGAGATGAGAGTTTGGGCTTTATTCTTCATTAACCTGTAATTAAAGATAAAATTAATTATTAGTGATATATTTATTCATTAAAAATAAATAATAAGGGCATAAAATTATAATAAAATATGATTATCAAATACCCCCACACCTAAACTTTTGCTAGTCCTCTAGCAAAGAAATAAAAATAAAAGAAAACATAACTAACTTTCGCAGGAATCGTGGTTGTATTTAGAGCATACAACAATCCTTTAAACCCCTAGGTTACCCTAGTGGACGAGTTGTAGTCTCGTGAGGATTTGCAGTGAATATACCCACAAAATTTGGTCAACTTGCCACATTAAAGAAGCTAGTAAATAACTAAATTTACTTGATAATTGAAGCTAGTTATTACTCAAGAAAATATTTTTATATATAACTCTAAGGTACATTTCCTTGAAAATCTTCTCATTATAGCAATATAAAACCAAGCCAAACTTAGAAATTTAATTTAAAAGTTTTGAAAAGAACATGCTAACTCTTTGTTTAAAATAATATTCAAGTTGCTTGATCTAAAATATTTTCCAAGACCATATATACATATATAAAACATTTATTAGTATTTTTATTTTTATTTTTTATTATTTTATTTTTAACTCTTTCTTCCTTGATGATTTTTTTCTACTTTAATGGGCTTTCTAAGCGACCATTTAACGAGTTTTGGGCTAATGGATCCCAACCCAATTGGGCTTAGGTCATTAAGTATGGAAATACTCATTGGGCTTAATTACTCGATCAGCTTAGGCTTTATAAGATAGAATCACCTTGAATTTAAGAGTTTTTTTTCTTTTGGTGCCTATTTTTCGCACTCTTCTTTTTGTAATTTTTTTTTTGTATATGTGTATATATTCTGAAAAATATGTAAGTCAAGCTACTTTAAAAAATTATTTTTAACTCTAAGCTAAGCATGCATTCCATTATTTTAAATAAAAATCTAAGTTAAGGCTTAAGTAAAGTATACTACTTTGAAAATCATTTCTTAAGAACTTTATTTAGGCTTAAGTAAAGTATACTACTTTGAAAATCATTTCTTAAGAACTTTATTTAGAGTTATCATAAAAGGTGCTTGAGTAAATAACAGATTAGAAAATTTAAAATTTATCAAATAAATTATTTATTACATAACTCTATCAATTTGGCAAGTGACGATATTTTTAAATTTTTTTTAGGAAAAGAAAAAAATGACAAAAATGCAACAAAAAAATATAAAACAAAGAGAAAAATTAACTAATTCCCACCCCCACACTTAAATTTTGCATTGTCCTCAATGCAAACTCTATGATGCACAAAGTAAAGTAGATAAGAAGTGAAGTAGTTACATTTGATCGGCTGATGAAAATCTGCAATTACCTTTCGTCTGAGGATGATGGAATCAAAAATTTATTCTTCTTTTTCTTTTTTTTCTTTTTCTCTTTTTTTTCTTTTTTTTCTTTTTTTTATTTTTACAACTGAAGAAGAAACTCTCAAATGAGAGAAGATTTTATTATGCTAAAATAAACAAAATAAATAATATAGAATAAAATATTCAACATGAAGAGCTCATGTTCTACATTGAATCCTACCTTATTGCTAAAAATTCTTCCCCGGGTCTTAAACAATTTCAAAATGATATAATAAACAATGTGTTAAAATTCTAAGTATTCCGGGGTGTTCAATGATTTTTGTGGAAATGGAAGGTAAGTATTATTGGTGTCATGCATATTGGACTTAGATTCTTGATTTGTGAATGTTTGTTCTCTAACAACCAATTTTTCTTTAACAATTTCCTCAACCCCAAGATTCATAGTTGATGTGTAAAAATTTGGTTGTTGTTTATTTTCAAAAAATCTTAGTTCATCAAGAAAGAGTTCTTTAAAATTTAGTTCAAAGCAATAATTGTTTAACACAGTTTCCTTATTTTGACAAACCTGGTCTGCTTCTCCTAATATTTCAGCTCCTCACCAAAAATTTCCTCAAAACTTGGATCTGACTCTTCTTCTTCTTCCTCTGGTCTTTCCTGGATTGAGTTGTCAAAAGGAGAATGAATTGGAACAAGATTTTGGCTTAAAGGTGTTCTTTCCTGATTATCGGCCTGTTTTACTGACTGTAGTGCATTCATTTGAGTGTCCTTTGGATTGACCACGGGTTGATTCAGAATTTCTCCTTCCTCTTCTTCACTTATGGCACTAGCTAGTTGATCAATATGGGTTTCTAATCTAGCTATGGCTTGAGTGTTAGAGCTAAGCATGAGTTCAGTTGATTGCATAAAGGAGTTCATCGTGTAGGATGTTTGAGTTAACATATAAGTGGCTAGTGTGGAGGCCTTAATTATGATTTCAAAACCCTTTTTCAAAATATTGAGACATTCACCATGATCTGTGTCAAGAGGAGTGTGAGTTACAACTTGATGATGGGGAGACTGATTTTGATGTGACAGATTGAGTTGTTGAAATTGTGGATGAGAATTGAAAGGAACTATGTTTTCCCTAGAAAAATGTTGGGTCGAAGAGGGAGTGAAGTTTTGAGTTTCGGAGTGGTTTCCATTATTCCATGCAATGTTTTGTAATTTGCCCAACCTAGATTGTAGGTTGGAAAAAATAGATCATTCACCGAATACTGAGATGGGCTCCCTACAAACTCCCGATCTTCATTGGGGATTTCAATCCTATTGGGATAACATAAATTTTAAAAAACATGTGGATTAGCCATTCAAAATGAATTTGTCGATGTGTATTGTCCCTAATCCACGTTTTGCATGCACCAACAACAATTTCTTTTTATACTTTTTTATATAAAAGTTAGGTTTTTTTTTAATGAGGAGAGAATGAAAAAAGAGGAAAATCCTAACTAAAACAAATCAAAATCAATCACTCTAACTCTAGGGTTTGGCCTAACTCAACTAGACCAGCTCCTAACCAAAAACCCCTATAGTGAAAAGATTAAAGTTTTACCCAGGTAGTTAGCCATGTAAGGATAGTACTAGAGGGTGATCAGAGATCAATTAAGTACATCGTTCCTTGCAGAGCGCTTTACGCAACCCCTAAACCTTGCCTTAGACACCAACTAATCTGAGAAAACTTAAACCGGTTCACTTATGGATTTTTTGTTCCCATTGAGCTCGAGTCCTTAGGGCCAACGTCTAGTGAGTTTTATTAGGCTTGGGTGGTGTAGTGAGAAATTAGTAATTTTTGGGCTAAAGGAAGAATGATGAAATCCCTCACCTTATCTTTAAAATGGGATTTTACCCTTAAAAATATTTTTAAGTGTGTGCCAAATCAAGATGCTCAAATCACTTGGTGAATTCCTACTAACAATATGAAATGCAACCCTATGAATTAAAAGCAACTAAAAAGGATGGGAAAAAATTATTTATTTATTTATTTAGGGTTAACAATCAAACAAATGAGAATGGGGAAATTGTTTGATTTTATTATCTTGTTAGTAAATGTCAAAGTAGAGGGTGAATTTTATTATGGTCAACAAAAAAAAAAATTAAAGATCCTAATTGTCACTAATTTTGAGAACTAACTAAAGGTGTAGAATTGAAAATATTAGGAAGAAGACTTACCACAAGCGAATCTTCAAATCCTCAATCTTCAATTCTTGATCTTTAATCTCCAAGTAGTTCTTTCACAATAAACACACAAGTTAAAGAACCAAAATAATTAAAACCTACCTAGCACCTTCCCCGGCAACGACGCCAAAAACTTGATGCGGCATAAACATGTACCAAAAATGTTGCAAGTGCACAACATAAACATGTACCAAAAATGTTGCAAGTGCACAACCGTGTCAAGTTATAGTATAAAGATATTGATCCCACGAGGAAGGTGTTTAAGATATTGATCCCACGAGGAAGGTGTTTTGTAGGAGAAAATATAAAATCGGTTCTTATATTGTGTGCGTAACAAATAGGAGTGATGAGTGAATGTGATTGTGAAGAGATTGAGAGAGTGAAAATGGTGTGTAAATAGGCGCAAAATGTAAGTAAGAGTGGATGTGACAAAGAATGAATGTGATCAATAAGGCAAGAAGGAAAAATCAAGAAACAAATAAAAATCAAGAATAAAAAATAAAATTCAAGAATAAAAGAAAATGCAAGAAATTAAAGATGGTGGATTCAATTATAGATATGAGTAATCTAAAATTGAACCCACTTCTTAGAAAAGGGTGATTCCCTAGAGGGTTCTAGCCTAA